TCTGAGTTGACCTCAACAATTGCTTCATCTAAATCATCAACATGTCTCCTGGACCCCATCCCGACCAGGCTGCTCAAAGACATCTTTCCCCTAATCAGCACATCCATACTAGATCTGATTAACCTCTCTCTATTAACAGGTTATGTTCCACAGGCTTTTAAGGTTGCTGTAATTAAACCTCTACTCAAAAAGCCTACTCTTGACCCAGGTGTCCTAGCTAATTATAGACCAATATCCAATCTCTTGTTTATTTCAACAGTGGTGCGGTGGGTAGAGCAGTCATCTCCCATCCGGAAGGTTGAGGGTTTGAATCTCGGTGCTTGCAGTCCACATATCGAAGTGTCCTTGGGTAAGACACTGAACCCCCCAAGTTGCCCATAATGGCGGCGCGTATGAACACTGCAGCCTGGGGCCCTCGGCTGCAAGCAAAATTTCGTTGTATGTATCACAATGTTACAATGACAACAAAATGAAGCGTCTTCTTCTTCTTCTTCTATTTCTAAAATTCTTTAAAAAGCTGTTATAAAGCAGTTATGTGACCACTTGCACAAGAATGATTTGTTTGAGGATTTTTAGTCAGGATTTAGAGTCCATCATAGTACAGAAACTGCATTGGTGAAAGTCACCAATGATCTTCTCCTAGCCTCAGATAAAGGACTTATCTCCATGCTTGTCCTCTTAGATCTCAGTGCTGCTTTTGACACCACTGATCACAGCATCTTACTACAGAAACTTTAACATGTTATTGGGATTAAAAAACTGCACTAAGGTAGTTCAAATCTTATTTATCAGAAAGATTTCAATTTGTTCATGTTAATGATGAATCTTCCACACAAACTGAAGTTAGTCAGGGCATTCCACAGGGCTCTGTGTTAGGTCCAATTCTCTTTACATTATATATGCTCCCTTTAGGCAATATTATAAAAAACACAACATACATTTCCATTGTTATGCAGATGATACTCAGTTATACAATATTTATTTTTGAAGCCAGATGAATCAGATCAGTTGGTCAAACTTCAAGCATGTCTTAAAGACATAAAGGCCTGGATGACTTGTAAACTCTGACAAAACTGAAGTTATTGTACTTGGGCCTGAAAACCTTAGAAATCTCTGAATGTCCTTTAAATCACACATAAACCAAGTCTCTAGATCTGCCTTCCTGTCTCAAAGTGATGCTATAAAACTGGTCCATGCATTTGTTACTTCCAGGCTGGACTACTGTAACTCTTTACTATCAGGATGTCCCAATAATTCCCTAAAAAGCCTCCAGTTAATCCAAAATGCTGCAGCCAGAGTACTGACAGGAACTAGCAAGAGAGATCATATCTCTCCCATATTAGCTTCTCTCCACTGGCTCCCTGTAAAATCTAGAATAGAATTTAAAATCCTTCTCCTAACATACAAAGCCCTTAATGACAAGGCTCCATCGTATCTTAAAGACCTCGTAGAGCCTTATCATCCTAACAGAGCACTTCACTCTCA